TTGATTACTTATCTGCGCGACGACGATGACAAGGACGGCGTGGCGCAGCGACGAGGACGACAGGCATGGTGGTGATGACGTGGCGCGACGGCGGCGACCCCGTCCGTGATGATGATGATGGGTCACAATGACGACGATCACGATGATGACGATGATGACGTGGCACGGCAGCGACGATCTCGGTGATGATGTTGATGATGGCCAGGTGACGACGTTGAAGCAGGGTGGGTCGGGCGGGTTTGAACCGCTCCGATACCAGTGTAACGAGCGTGAGGCTGAGGGTGAGCCGAGGGAGAGGAGAGGGAGGGAGAGAGAGAGAGCATACACACACACTCACTCACTCGACACGACGGACTCGGACTGAGGATCGGACGCAGACACAGTGGCAAGGCACAAAGTCGAAGTCTTGGATTCTCGAATGCCGAAAACAGCAAGTAACACTGAGTACGAGTACAGCAGCAGAGAACTGGTACGAGACTGCCCCCGTACCGTACGTGTCACCGGTATAAGTACCGGTGACACGTACGGTACCAGGGGCATTTYTGCAAAGGCCCCMRAGKGCAGAACTGAAAAATGCAGTATTTGAAAGTGGCGCCCGAATTGCAGCATGGCGCCAGTTGTCCGAAATCCTACGGTACCAAAGGAGGAGTTTGGAAAAAGGGCGCCAGGCCGAAAACGGGATGCAGCTGAAAGAGCAAAAAGATAGACCAGGGATCGAGCCCTGGCGAAGTCCGTAACACTAAAGCCTTTGGGTTGAGTAGCGAGAATGAATTAGAGTTGAGCCGGAAACCGACCTGTTATAAAATGATAACAAAAGAATGATCCTTGTGGGATCAGGCCGAACGAGTCAAACCTTCAATCGTATACGTAGAGCTGCATCACGGTACAAGTAAAAAAAAACACTACTACGTTTAAATTAAATCAGAGTACGTGTTTCATCTTATAGCCTAGCTCCTCTACTAACCTCTACCTTATCAAGAACTTCGGCATCATCTCCCCAAAACAGGGCGGAACTTTTTCCTACAGAAAATAATGCAACTCTACAAATTCTGCAAAATTTCGACAGCACTTCCCGTAGGAAAAGTGTCTTTTCAAAATTTTCAGGTGTCCAAAAATGACTAACTCTTTCAGATTTGTAAAAATTTTGGCAGCGCTTCCCGTAGGAAAAGGAGACTGCCAAGATTTATACAAAGTTGAAAATGCAAAGACAAAGCATAACTATACTTGAGTCTAACTTCTGACACTCACTTGATAGTTAGAACTGAAGATAGTTTACACGATCCCCCTTTGAAGATGGTATCGTGAGCTATCACTAGTCCTAACTTCCAGTAAGATCAGTCCTATCATATCCCAAGCTTCCCTCCAATTATCCATCTCACCTACCTATAGCTCCCACACTCAGCGAACATCTGAAGCAACTAAGCTATCAAAAAAAAAACCGCAGAGGTAAACCTTAAGAACATACACAGGTGAGCACAACAATATCTCTCGCCAACCCTCAGGTTCCTTCCCAGATCACATAGTTCGTTCAAAATCCCTCGTTATTCCCTTTTACCCTTTCTTACATAATACATAGGATCAGCCAACCCAACGTATGGATGTGACTGACTTGCCAGTTTATATGACTAGGCCACACCAACTTATGGTGCCCTAGTCTGGTAACACAAATAAATGTAAGGCATAGGACTAAACCACCCCAACTTGTGGTGTGACTAGTTTCTGCCTAGACGATTGACATAAGGCGTATGACCAAACCGCACCAACTTATGGTGAGGCTGGTCAGCCTGAACATTCGGCATACACAAAGAAACTGAACCTCCTCAACTTATGAGGGACCAGCCTTTGCCTGAACAATGACGAAAGACATATGACTGGAACACACCAACTTATGATGTACCCACCATCCCAAACAGTGACATATAGCGTAAAACCAGGTTACTCAACTTATGAGTAGTCTAACCCAGCGTAGACAAAACTACATGCGCGAATGGTCGAACAACCCGCAACTTATATGTTCGCCCAACTTTCGCAATACAACCATTTTCAACGAATAAACATAAGGCATAGAACTTACCACACCAACTTATCGTGTGATTAGCCTCCGCCTAAACGATTGACATATGGCGTATGACCGGGCCGCACCAACTTATGGTGAGGTTGGTCAAACTCAAGATTCGGCATACACAATTAATTGAACCACCTCAACTCATGAGGGGTCCATCTTTTGCCCGAACAAACAACAAGAGGCATATAACTAGAACACACCAACTTATGGTGTGGCTAGCTAGCCCAAGCAATGACATATAGCGTAAAACTAGGCTACTCAACTTATGAGTAGTCTAGCCCCGCCTAAACAAGCAACAGGTGTGTGCGACCGAACAACCCGCAACTTATGCGTTCGCCCAGCCTCCGCAACACAACTACATTTAAGTAAGATCACAATTTATTTCTGTCTTCAGACGAGTGGTCAGGTCACCTCAACTCCTGAGGATCCCCATCCAAACATCAACTTATGTTTAAAAAAAAAAAAAAACATGCTTTATATTCTCTCTCTGCCCTTTGTAATATCAGGGGCATAAAACCAACTGCCCAACTTATGGATGAGTCAACCTGCCCAAAGTTACCTCTCAA